TAGAAAAAGCAAGATCTGCATTTCAAAAAATGGCTAAGCTATTCAAATGCAATGATTTATCAGTACCTATAAAAATCAGGTTACTACGATGTCATATTTTTCCTATACTCTTATACGGAGTTAAGTCATGGACTCTTACAGATACTACCTGCAAGAAAATTGAGGCTTTCGAAATGTGGCTTTATCGTCGAAGCCTGAAGATATCCTATACGGACCACGTTACTAATCTGGACGTTTTATTAAGAATGCAAATAGGAAAAGAGCTGTTAACCACAATAAAAACAGCCAAAATTGAATAGCTCGGTTATATTATGAGGAACAGTGAAAGATATGTGTTGATGCAATTAATTCTTCAAGTCAAAGTAGAAGGAAAACGAGGACAAGGAAGGCGAAGAATTTCCTTCCTGAAAAATCTGCGTACGTGGTTCAACACAACAACCGCAAATATTTTCAGAGCCGCAGTTTGCAAAATATAGTGATTGTCATGATGGTTGTGAACATCCGAAACGGATAGGCACTACAAGAATAAGACAACGGTGCTACTGTAATGCGTGGACAGTTACGGGAATTCATTTTTTCTAATTCTCGCAAAAAAAATCCGAAAAAACATTGTAAACACGATGGAATTTTTAGTCTAGAGCGATACAAACTGTATTTGAAAATTGAACATCCTGGAATTTATCTGCGAGAGAAAATTGTGACAATATATGACACAAGTTTCTCTCGCAGATATTATGACATGTAAAATTGAGGATCGGTTAGCTTTTAAGAATCATCCCTTTTGTGGAAAGTTGTTTCAAAGAGAAAGTAATGAACATTATAGAAAATAACTAGTTTTAGAACACATTGCTATCTTCTGCAATGCATTTTCAATGATTAAGAAATATGTCTTGAAATTTGAGTCGGCAATATTTTACTCGCGGTCAGAAATAAACTTTAGATCTAATAGTGTATTATGGTTTGGATTCAATATTTTGTGAAGTAAATAAAGTTTTGATTATTTTAATAACAATACCAATGATAACTGTAGAGACTTAAAGATGTTTCTCTAGTTTGAAATTGATCAAGACGTTTTAAGGAATGAAATATCAGAAGACAAAACTTTAATTGGAGAAATTTCGGACTTCAACGAAAACGTAATGGAAATGTTTATCTCCGATAAAGACAAGGAACGAGTTTC